CAAACTGAAGAAACTTATAAACACCGAAACATTAAAAATTTCGTTCGTAACATCGACCAGTCTGTAAAAATAGTAAACATAAACCATTGCAAAATAAAATCAAAATGCAAGTTTGACCCACAGAAATATATCCTGATGGCGGTCTAAAATTTTGCTCAGATTTTTGATATCATCTTCCGTTTTTGTTGGGGTTAAGTTTCGAACCCTTTTTGCTAAATACCTGAAATTCATATTTATCAACAACATGGACGTAATCAGTACCATATGTGGAACGAAATATGCAACCAGACACGAAAAAGCAGAAAACGCTTGAGTTAAAACTATAATTGCATACATGCCAGGAGTGTTCACTTTGAAAGGATACCACACAGGATAGGGCAGCTTATAGTCAAACTTAACTTCATCATCGGTAGTATAGGAGGTCATCATAAAGTTGAATAATGGTGCCACGTTGAATAAGATGACGCCGACAGATAAACATATTGATAACGCTTTTGTAACTCGAATCAATTCCTTATAATTTGTTTCTACTTCAAAGCTCTTCTGCTCCTCCATATTTTGTGGAAAATATTTTTGAAGTACATCAACAAGTATTTTTACGCGTTTAGTATTCGAAAAGATACAAACGAACCGAACGACAGCAGTAAAAAAAACGATTAGCGTTACCGCAGCATCTGAGAACTCTGCTGGTGTCTGAGGGGTTGTCTTGATGAAAAACATTGGTACAAGTATTGAATAAACGCCAATCTGTATCATTGAAATTGTAAATGCGATCGATTCCTGTAGGGAAAGGCGTTCTTTCGATGATGTTCGATACAAGCCCACTCCATACGCTTGAAACAGCCGAAAAGGAATTTTGAAGAAATCCAGCACAACCATCGGTTTTGCTCCAGAATTCCTTACCATTTCGCTTTAGTTGAACGGTTCGCTTCTTAGCAACGTAACAGTTTGCAAGGTAGATAAATATAAACTGAGCCCAGGGCCAAGGGAAAATAACAAATGTTTTCATATTACTAACGCAAAAGCCAGCCAAACAACATTTAACACATGTTACGATATATGTTCGCCATACATAATTTATTTAATTAGATTTCTTGTTTTCGTGAAACGGATTTAGGAGGCATGCCGTTACAACAATCGTTCAACGTTTCAGTTCAGTCAGAGTTTTTGAAGCTTGTTTCAGTACAAGTGAGTAGCTGGGGCGTTTTTTTTCATTACTTTAGATGCACTGCAGTGCCGCCTATAGATGCTATAGATGCTATACTTTTTGAGTAATGAGCAAAAAACCAATTTGTTGTTCCTTTCCAAAAAACATCCGTGTCCTTATTTTACCTAGTAT